CCATATCGATTGCCCTTTATTCCGATTTGAATCTGTCCGATCGATTCATATATCGATAGCCCTTATTCACGGGTGAGTACTGTCCGATCGATTTCCATCCTATCCGGTTCTGTTTGGTTCGAGAAGCTTGACCCCGCGCAACTTTGATTATATCAATATTTCTCATTATTTTGGTATATACCGATCCCAATCCCGTAATACTGAATACCAAATAGTACTCCAAAATGAATCACAATCTCAATTCCTAAAAAATAAGCCGGTATTCGATAATACCAAATAGCGATAAATTCGATACGATATTTGGAATATCCCAAATACCGATAACAAACATCCAGCCCTTTCACGTGTTAAAGTAAGAAAACAAGAGTCGTAGTTTGAATAGTAAGGCAATGTACCACATTGAATTTTTTTTAGAATAAAGGGCTAGGGAGTTAGTATTATTATTTCTTTGGGTTAATATATTTGTATGGCCTGAACTTTTCACATAATAAACATCCTGGTCAATCTTTTCGATCTATAACATCATGGCCTGAACTATACACCTAAGTAACGAAATTAGTCAAACCCGAAAATTGATCGTTATCTTGGACGTTTAAACGTTAGTCAACGCGCCATGTCAGCACCTCTCACTTAAAAAAGTTTATATTTTCCACCTATTACTATTTATTTTTGTCATTTTGAATAAAAAAATTAAAAAATGGCATGGACAAGAATTTTCATTTTCATTTTTTAAATTTTTTTATTCAAAATGAAAAAAATAAATAGTAATAGGTGGAAAATATAACTTTTTAAGTGAAAGGTGCCGACGTGGCGCGTTGACCGTTAGTCAACGCATTTGACCATCCAAGATAATGGTTAATTTTCATATTTGGCCAATTCCATTACTTTGGTGTATAGTTCAGGCTATAATGTTATAAATCAAAAAAATTGACCAAAATGTTTATTATGTGAAAAGTTCAGGCATACAAATATATTAACCCTATTTCTTTTACGTTCAGTTGGGTTTAGAATGAGTTTTATTTGGGTAGACCCATAAAATTGATCTTCTAAATCCGAATATACCCTCAAAACCTTCCTTTGAGACACTCTTTTACAGTTTTACGTATTAAAAAATAAAAATAAAATACAATTGAGTATATATATATATATATATATATGGTGCCTTCTACGGTACCCCGAGTGAAATCCGGGGTACCGCATACCTTGAGTATGAAAACGCTATTTAGATATCGAATTAGCATGATTTTTGGGCATGATACTATACCCTAACCCTTAATGAGTGAACCCTAGGTCCTAATTATCTAAATCATAAACTATAAACCCTAAGATGGAGCATTACTTTTTTTTACCTATATTTGGACGAATCATAACCGTCGATTATTGTTTCTAATTAAATTGATCTTGGGGTATAAGATTTAGTGAATTAAGACCTAGATTTTGATCTTTATGGGTTAGAGTATAGTATAATGTCCGAAAGATCAGTCAATTCAAGTTCTAGATAGGGTTTTCTTACTTAAGGTATGCGGTACCCCGGATTTCACCCGGGGTACCGTAGAACTCCCCATATATATATATTTTGATGTTAGACTGTTAGTGATTTTGTATTCTTCCCCTTTGTTACCATAATAATTATATTAATCAAAACGGGCCCGTGGCTGCTATAAATAGCGCATCCATGAGCCCTGAAACTCGATCCCAAGGCTCTCACCCAACCCAACCCATCCACCTCTCTCTCTCTCGAACTACACTCTCTCCACCCCCATAACACAACAAAACAAAACAAAACAAACACTATGCCGTCGAAACTAGCCGATGCTTTCAGATCCCACCCAGTAGACATCCAACCGAAAAACCTCCACGACTTAAAAGAGCTCCCGGACTCCTACCAATGGTCCGCCGACCAGGACCGACCAGAACCCGAACCGGCCCATCACGAACCGGTGCCCGTGATCGACCTCTCGGACCCCAACGCGCTCGAGGAAATCGGTCATGCATGCACAACGTGGGGAGTGTTTCAAGTCGTCAACCACGGAGTCCCCGCCGCCGTCCTCGACCGGATGGAGGACGTCGCCAAGAGCTTCTTCAGCCTGCCGGCTCACCAGAAGCTCAAGGCGGCCCGGTCACCCGACGGGATCTCCGGCTACGGCTTGGCCCGGATCTCCTCTTTTTTCCCAAAGCTCATGTGGTCGGAAGGCTTCACCATGGTTGGCTCCCCGTTGGAGCATTTCCACACAATTTGGCCTCATCATTACACCCGATTCTGGTACGTATATTACCGCCCCATTTTCTAAATTATTTTTCCCTCCTTTTCAACTCCTTGTTTTTTTTTTTTTTTTGTTCTGTATTTACCATGGTGAAAATTATTTTTTCCTCTTTTCTACAAGGGTTAGTTTTCTTCATCATATAACAACATCGAGTTTGAGAGCATCTCTCTTTATGGAGTGAAGTCACATAGTGAACGAAACTTACAGTAGTCTCGTACTTAATCAAGAATATAATTTCAATATGTAAATACGATGAAATTTATCGTAACGAATTTAGCGATTGAATCTATTTTCCCATATTTATCTGTCTTCTCGATGGAAACCTTTTTTCCTCATTTTGTTGTTTTATGTGGAAACAAACAAAAATTACTTTATGGCACACCGAATGAAAGGAACAACTTTGTTTTAGTTTGCTTAGTAGCAAGGATCGATGATACCAATTGATTAATAATTGTGGTTCGATTATATAAAATGTACATACATAAGCGGACAAGATTTAGGATTAGTGACAGCGTTGGCCCGGATTCAAGAAACTAAAGCCCTTTCTACTACGTTTGGAGTTCAACTCTTAATTATTCCCATATTGTTGGCCTGCCCACTTGCATTTTATAAATTTATTAATACCTGTCTTTTTTTCTTTTTTATTTTCTTGTGTCATATAGTGACAGCGTGGAAGAGTACGATAAACAAATGCAAAATCTGGCACAAACGTTGATGTGGCTAATGCTTGGCTCCCTTGGGATTACAAAGGAGGACTTGAATTGGGCTAATAATAACAGCAATAGCACCACCACCAACCCAAGAGGTGGGCCAAAGAAAGAGGCTGCTGGCTCCTCCTCGGCCGCGATCCAACTGAACCACTACCCGGCATGCCCCGACCCAGACCGAGCCATGGGTCTCGCCCCACACACAGACTCCACTCTCGTCACCATCCTCCACCAGAGCAACACCAGCGGGTTGCAGGTGCTGAGGGCCGGCGGAGGGACTGCAGGATGGGTCACGGTCCCTCCGATTCGAGGCGGGCTGGTCGTGCACATCGGCGACCTGCTCCACATATTGTCCAACGGGTTGTGCCCGAGTGTGGTCCATCGAGCCGTGGTTAACCGGGACCGGAACCGGATATCGATTGCCTACCTTCATGGCCCACCTTCGAATGTGAGAATCTCGCCCGTGCAAAAACTTGTGGGGCCAAGTCAACCTCAAATGTATAGGGCAGTGACGTGGACTGAGTACCTAGGCACCAAGGCCAAGCACTTCGACAAGGCTCTTTCTTCGGTTAGGTTGTGTGCTGCTGCTGAGGCAAAAGATCACAACAACAATAATAATAATAATGGAGTGCAAGTTGGCTAAACCCAGCTGCCTAGTAGCTACACGGGTCCGGATAGTATAACAACACCTAAGGTGTTGTTATACTAACAACAGAATTCATTAAGGGTATAAGAGTAAACTTACCTAAAATATAATAAAATTAAAATTAAATTAAAAAATCCCAATTCCCATAACTCTCGATCTCCTCCCCTACCTTTTCCGATCGCTTCTCCTCAATCTTCTCTTCTGCCGCCGCCGTCGATCCTTCTCCTCCAATCTCAGGCAAGCAGTGATCCTCAATCCGCCACTGTCCTGGACGAGTTCGACGACATCGAAGAAGGCGTCGTCGAAACGGCGTGTCGAGAAGAAGAAAACGACGAGGATCAGGACCTCGACTTCCTCCGTCGACACTGGGGGCCTCTTTAGCAGTGAAGGAGGTCCGGAGGACTATGAAGGCGAAGAAGAAATGGAGACTTTCCACCGACGATGATGACGTGGAAGGTTCTAACCCCTCAATTGAAGACCATCAGCGAAACAGAGTTTGCCGGCGCGACCAGGAGGATGGACAGACGAGGAGGGCGTAGGAGGAGGAAGAAGGCGGCAGTGGCGGCGGAGGTTGGGTCGCCGGCGCGGCTGTCGCGATTCTCGCAGTGGGTGATGCCGTGCAGGGTGGAAGGGAAAGTGAAGGAGAGCTACGCGGTCGAGATTATTCAGTACCAAAATTGTTTTTCGCAGCTAAAATTGGGAGCAATCTCTGTGTTTTAGTTCCTTGGTTGATGCTCAAGCGACCAAGCTATTACTTTAAAAGTTTTCCTGGAAACAATCGACTGCTGTGTTATTGTGTTAGAGAAGGATGGATTTTTCCAATTTGACATTTGTCTCCACTTGGTTTCGTTTGGTTGGCATGGCAGGAATGCTTGAATGGAGAGTGTGTGAGAGAAGGTCAAAATCCTAAGTTTTCCCACGTTGCTGGATACCATTGGTATATCAGTCTTTATTTGTTTTGATGCCTTCATAGGATATCTGGGGGCGAATTCTCTTCGCATATGGTTTGACAGATAGATATGTATTATATGCTCATATGATTTATTCCATGTATAGAATGATCCATGGTATGCGTATAAAAAAGGGAAAGGCAAGGCAACATATATCAGCCGTTTTTTAGCTTTTGCCTATTGGAACGCAAGACACTCTTGTTTTTTTGTTTGTCAAAATTGTAATATGAAGAGATGAAACAAATCACAAATATTGCATAAGTATACCATAAACTTTTTAATACAAACCACAAACATATTAAAATAAACAAAAAAGAAACATACCATAAACCTTCTAATGCATACCATAAATCTCCTAAAACATACAAAAAACAACACAAAGCAAACCACAAACATTTCTAAAGCAAATCAGAAACACAATAAAGCAAACCAGAAAACTCCTAATGCATACCACAAATCTCCTAAAACAAACCACAAACCTCACAAAGCAAACCACAACATTTGCGAAAGCACACCAGAAACCTCCTAATGCAAACCAAAAACCTACTAATGCATACCACAAATCTCCTAAAACAAACCACAAACCTCACAAAGCAAACCACAAAATATGTCATAAGCACACCAGAACCTCATAATGCAAACCACAAACACGATAAATCAAACCACAAAAACAAACGAGAAACTTCCTAATGCAGACCAAAAATCTATTAAAACAAACCAAAAACCCCTCAATGCAAACCACAAAATTTTTGAAAACAAACCAGAAACTTCTCAATGCAAACCACAAACACGATAAAGCAAACCAGAAACTTCTTAATGCAAACCACAAACACGATAAAGCAAACCACAAAAAGGCATACAAAAATATGAGAAACCAAACCATAAATCTCACAATGCAGACCATAACATCCGGTGGTCGTTGGCCGTTGACCGGTCAACGAAAATCGTTGACCAAACTCCGATGACCGTCAGTGAGTAGATTCCGGCGCCGATAGGCATATTCCGGCCCCGATGACTAGATTCCGACGCCGGTAAGCATATTCCGACCACGGTGAGCATATTCCGGCGACGGTGGCATATTCCGATGACAAAAAAGCATATTCCGGTGACCGGCGGTCAGATTCCGGCGACCGATGACCGAACTCCGGCGACCAAAATTTTGGTCCGAAAATAAAAAAATATTTTTTTTTTATTTTTTTTTATTATTATTTAAACATATTTTCATAATGACAGTTATACCCCTGTTTTGATTTTACACTAGGTCAACACATCTAATAAAAAGTTATCACAACCCTAGCTTCCTATTGGTTGGAGACTAGTGTTGTTACAATAACAACACAAGGGGTGTTGTCATAGTAACCGATCCCTAGCTACACGGCTCAAGATAGGGTGCATAACCATGGGTTATGCACCCATCAATAACCAAATCTGGACCCTTCATTTAGAAAATCCAGATCTAAGGATGGAGAATTAAAGGCTATTTTTATTTTCACTAGCTTTCTTAATTGACTCATATCTTTTTCGTTTTAACTCGGATTTTAATTTTTTTTGCACAGATGGATCGAGTTCACCGTGCTCTACAAAATGAGATCAATTTTCAATATTTTTTTAGGAAAAAAAAATTATGGCCTCTCGGTACCAATTGCATACCATATGGTAGCTTCTTCGTTTTTAATTCGTTTTTGAAAACGTTTGCACAGCAGGGATGAGTTCATCATGATCTACTGGATCTACAAATTTCTGGGTGAACAAATTACAGGACCAAAAAATACCACACAATACCACACAATACCATACAATACCATCCTGGTACGGGGTGGTATTGTATGGTATCTTCTTCGTTTTTAATTCGTTTTTTAAAACGTTTGCACAGAAGGGACAAGTTCATCATGATCTATTGGATCTACAGATTTCTGGGTGAACAAATTACAGGACCAAAAAATACCACACAATACCATACAATACCACCCTGGTACGGGGTGGTATTGTGTGGTATACAATGTTAAAAGTCGTAAATTACAATTAATTTACTTCTACTATTATGTATTCAACCATCCTACAGTATTGGTTTGTTCATACCACCATGGTACATTTTTCAAAACATAGGTATGCTTTTATTTCAATACCAGTCAATACCATATGGTATAGGCTGGTAAAAAATGGCTCAATTTTTTTTGTTCGAAAAATAGATTAAAGTGGATATCATTTTGAAGAGCACAATTAATCTGATCTAACTGTGCAAAAAAAAATTAAATTTCGACTTAAAATGAGAGAGAAATCGTCCATCAAAGATTAAAGAGGGAAAAATTAAAGGTTTTTCATGAGAGAGAAGATGCTGATGTCATGCTGATGTGGACGGGTTACTCATGGTTACTCACTATAAGGTTACTTACCTGATCTATTCCCTAGCTACACAGCACAACTTTCCATCCCATTAGCAAAAATCAAATTTTGTCCTCTCCTTCGTTTTCCCCTTTGTCTCCTTTATTATTTTTAGTTTTTTCGTTTTGGCTCTTTATTGGATTGGTTTTTTTGTAAGCATATAACTCATATGACATGTACAGTTCTCCTTTTTTTCATCCTAATTTTGAATTTAACTACCCGAATGTTTAATTTAAGAATTCTTATGTTAATCTCAATGACTTGAATTACTATAATTTGAATTTGAATGCTAATATAAAGAGGAGGTTATTGTGAGATTACTTTGGTTGCTTGAAATGCTACAAAGACAATGATGTAATTGCTTTAATTATATCTGTGTACCCAAAAAAAAATTCCTATAATCAGTGTTGGGGAATTACAAAGATAGGTCCAAGGGAAGGCTCAATGGGGAAGAAGAGGGTACTTCGTGGGCCCGGTCCGTGGATTGGTTCGCGAGGCCAAGCCCAGGGGTAATATGGGAAGCTAGGTAACAAGGTTCGGAAGATTCCAAGAGAGTACGGTCTGGGCATCTTGTACCTGTCAGAGGCCTGACAGGTTAGTCGGGGCTCCCAGCCTGACAGAGGTACGGAGTATTAAATATGATGCTGACGTGGAACTGGGTTGATGAAGCCTAGTTCAGGGTTGGGTGAGTATAAATAGTGCCGGTAGGTAGCATTTACTCAGGTTGGATTCTCTAACTAAACACTAGAGCTTGACACTTCTCTCTCTAAAATCTAAACTGACTTGATCGTCGGAGGACTAACGGGCCAAGGCGCCCTCCTCCGTGTGCGTGTGTGCAGGTCAGATGTCTAGGACTCGTAGAGATGGGATAGAGCTGGTGGGGAGTTGGGCTCCAAAGTATCCGGGCACAAACAACCAGTAACGTATGTCAATTTTGTAGAAAATTATTCAACCAAAAAAATTTTGTAGAAAATTTTATTTATTGGCATGTCAGTCTAATCAAAATAACTCAATTCTAAAAGATCAATTAAAATAACTTAATTCTAGATCTATTGATCCAACAAAATCTAATTTTGGACGACAAGTTAAACAGTCAAATATATTTTTGCTGTCATCGTGTCATACGTCTCATCACCATCACTTCATGTATGAAAATTTTGCAAATAAATACAAAGGGATCATTGTACAAACTACAAACTATTCAACATTTTCAAACTAAATGGGATCAATAAGTTAAGCGCGCGCAGTGCGCACCCAGTCATCTTGTGCATCAGATCATTCTAATACAGAGACAACAACTAAATACACTCACTTGCTCACTATATATGTGCACACTAGTCACGCAATTTTACCTGATTAATTTGAATAATTATTGTTCATAAATTTGCATGTTAACTCGTTTCACAGTAGTTTACTAAAAGGTATCGTTTGGATAGAGTATTTGTGTGAGTTATTTGTGAGTTATTTGGGCACAAATAACTCGTTTGGCAGCATTTTGTTGAAATGAGTTATTTGGACAGTGAATTATTTACAAATAACTCAAAACGAGTTATTTGAAATAACTCATACCCCCGTGTTATTTTCAAAAAACTCGTTTTGTCACTCTGTTTTTCCCCAAATACTACATGTCGAATACCACATTTGTATGGTTCTACCAAACGAAATATTTTAACCCAATTAGCACTGAAATAACATTGAAATTCCACATGACCAATTAATGAGTAATTTGACTCTACAAATACCATTTGATTAATTAACCAATTATTTGCACAGTGAGTTATTTACAACTAACTCAAAAATGAATTATTTCAAATAACTCATACCAAAAATAAAAAAAGTATACACTAACTAAATGGATAACGAGTGGAGTTTCATATATAAGATACTTTATAACTTGTCGATTTCTATCCAATGAGATATAAAAGAGATAAGAAGGAGGCAGCTGGTCACCCTCATCAACTAGGGCCGTAGCTGTCTGAGCAGAGAGAGAGAGAGAGAGAGAGAGAGAGAGAGAGAGCAGATGAAGGAGAAGACGGCAGAAGCAACATAAAATTAATTTGCCCCGGATATGAAGGGAGGGAGGATCCTCTTCTATTCTATCCAACCAACAAGACGGTAAACGATCAAAATGAACATATGGTGGTGGTGAATAAAAACAACAACAAGAAAAGATAGACGGATAGGGCCACCAACAAAGACAGACGATGATCCAGAGATGAGACTATAGATCCATACAGATCCATATTTATTAGGACGACATTAATAATAACAACAATGATTATTATAATAATAATAATAATAATAATAATAATAATAATAATAATAATAATAATAATAAACTCACCCATCCAACTTTCTCTAGCAAACATATAAAACACATTTTCTTGGTTACACAAATACTTCAAGGTAGGAATAGGATTGGTCGAAAAGTCACAAATGCTCCATAAGGAATTCTATGAAGATAAATTATCATTCATTCAACTAGAGACGTCTGAGATTGCAAAAAGGAAACGTACACTTAGAATAACGGTGCTCAAATAACTAGCTACATGATAGGATTGGAAACGCTGGTGGTATGACACATCGTAGTTGCGATTCATGATGGTATGAGTGTGTGCTTTGTAGGTCGCCGTAGCAATAGGGTAGCCCACTTTGTGGCTAGAAAAGCCGTTCAATTGTACCCGATTGCGAGTCGTTTCTTTGATTTTGTGGCCTGATTAAATTCCATGATGTAATTGTTTATTTTTTTCCGGTCAATATAATGATTATCTCTTATATAAAAAAAAGGAATTCTATGAAGACGAATTATCATTCATCCAACTAGAGACGTCTGAGATTGCAAAAGGAAACGTACACTTTTAGAATAACGGTGCTCCAATAACTATCTACATGATAGGATTGGAAACGCTGGTGGTATGAATTTTCTTTCAAAAGATGTAAGACGAGTAGGACATATATAAGTGATTTGCGACATATTTTTTTCTACTCAAATTACTTCTCATCGCAAAAGGGTACTCTCTATTAAATGAGTGGTTTACTGTATAATTTTTAGTCATCAAATATTATTTTTATCATTATGAAATCATTAATTTCGATCCGATCTAGCTGTCAACTCTAAATACGTATGTTTGCTAGCTCCCCGGGCTAGCTAGGATCTGAAGGGCTAGTGCCCAAAATTCATGGACGAGAGTCGAGAGTTGTCCATCAAACCACAGATTAGTCGTACTCAATTAGGGAGTTATTCCCTATTGAATCACAAATCATCAGGGTCCCCAAACTTATTATTAGCAGAAACGGCAGAAATATAAGGTGGCGTGAACTAACAATATTGGTTGCGTGAAAAATCAATACCCTTACATGAATAATGCAAATATGACGTACATGATACAAATATAACGTGAATAACCCAAAATTAGGTGTTTTGTCATCTTACATGACAAGAGACTTGACTCTTATTCCTTCACCCTTTTTCCCCCGCGCTAAGTTTCTTGATGGAGGCGACATGTGATGAATGCAAGACGAACAGAGTATGGCATCCGCCATGTTAAGTTTGCCCGATCT